CCCCGCCCCTTCCCCACCCTCAATTCCCTGTCTTAATATGTTGCAAATAATTAGTATGACTATTTTGGACAACATTAACGGTGACATGGAATATTCAACCTAAAATTTTTACCAAAAAAATAATAACAATAATGAATATATACATATCACAGGTGATAAATAATAACATGACATTGCAAAATCAATAATCAATGCATCTATGTATCTAGCCAGCAGTAGCAGTATGATACTGTTAGGCTGTTATGATGAAGCCAACTTTCACTTAAAGGATAAACATTTCTTCTAAAGATATCAAATTATGAATTACAACTTGTTAGTCTGAACAACTTGAAGGGGTACAGAAAATAACTCCTCCCATGGTGCACGAATAGCCTCCACAATTTGTTCTAAAACTGTCTCTGACGGCAGAGTAAGTTTCCACACTTCTTCTCCACCTGCTGCCTCATCCAAAAACTGCAGCCATAATCCATCACCATTGGATTCCTAAAATACAAATCAGGGCAAGAGCATTAGATAAATATACATGAATAGGCTTATTTCTTAACAGGATAAATAAAAATATGTAGAAAAGAGCAGATCATACCACTTGGATAAGGTTGCTAATTGACTGCTGAGCTATGCATTTTAGTGACACGTGTAGTGGTACATTGTCAGCAGGTATTAACCATGACAAATCATCAGAGTTTAAAAGCAGGCTAGTTTCTGTTACCACAATCAAACAGCCATTAGATGATTTTTCCCCTACAAAATTTAAAAATAGTTGTTACTAAATTATAATTTTAAGACAAATTTTTCGTTTTATCAAATTCCGGTATTTAATACCAACCGTCGTCTTTAGATATAACGCATGAACAAAGCAGTGCAGCAAGTTTTATAGCCAGGTCCGCATCAGGAAAGGCACTTCTTACAATATCTTGAAGGATTCCAGTTGCAGTAAGACTGTGCTTTTCAGATGGAGAGTCCTGTATTTTCCAGGATGGCTCTATCTGTAGTTCTAAAGATAAAATCATAGATACAATGTTACAATCAATCCAACTTTAGAGCTTATCAATAAAGATACACAATCTGTGGATTCAGTATCCAACACAATACTCACGCTTCATACAGGTAAAGAAATTAGTGGTGTGGAGGGGATCTTGAACAACTATAATCAGATTACTTAATGCGGTGCTCTGAAGTGAAATCAAGATTCCTGCATTCCATGGTAGGGCAGAGATAGAATACAGTCTATCCAGAGGAACAGCAACAACTCTCGATATCCACCGGTCCACTCTGTCACTTTCCTCCGGACCAGTAATTTTCATGATGTACACTTTTTGTGATGAAATAACAAGTATTCCGGGATATCGGTTTTCTGGAGCACTTGTTAGTACTTCACCCTACAAGAATAGAGGTTAATGAAACAAAGAGTAAAAAGGATCACTTTCCATCTGTAAATATACAAAAGGGATACGGACCCGCAGTAACAACTGGATAACTTCACATTCATCAGCATCTAGAATTGCAAGATGTAGATGAAGTTTCAAGCGATGATCTACAGCAGAAAAGTCAACATAATCATAATAGATCATGTTATCGGAAACTGCCCTTTTTTTTCTGAGCCTTTTTTCTGAGTTCTCGGAAGCAGAAATCTTGGAGCTCATTGTCTGTAATAAATCTAAGAGAGAAAAAAAGAAGATAAATTGATAAAATTAAATGAATTTACAATTTCTGTCTAAAAAAGAAAACAGATAGTTACTGTCATAAACATTGGACAATGATGTCGATTGCTGAGAGGAATCAACAATTGGTTCTTCTGAATAACGAGGTGAATTTTCCCTGCTGGGTTCCTCTTTCAGAACAGATTTGGCTAGTCCATGAGCCCCTCGACGAACAATAGTTCCACCTGCGCCTATATTATTTTCATAAGCAGTGCAGACACTGTCAGTTATAGAACCTGGAACATGGCCCCAATACCAAGGTACATAACAATTCAATTTCAAGATAGAAAGTTGTAAATTATTACTGATTTTAGATAGATTTTAAAATGACTCACCCGATGAACTGCTCTCAGTGAGACCAGCAGGTAGAGGTGCAAGAGTACTTGTCACTTCAGGAACAGTTACTAGGCTAGGAATAGCCACAACTTGTCTTTCCTCTGAGGAACGCTTACGGCCTGGTGTTCCACTTGATCTACAAAACAGAAAATAGGAGATTATTTATAAGAGAACAAAAAAAAAAAAAAATGGTATGGGCAGAACAAATATCATATCCGAGATCATATCACCTTACCTGCTCACATCATCCAAAATTTCAATACTACTCTGACTAGGGTTGCTTATTATATCAATGTCACTCTCACATCTTCTCAAAGTAGGGTTGATATTAGATGAAAAGTCTGAATTTTGCTGCAAAGTGTTCCCAGGAGATTCCAATGACACAGCTGACCCTAGAAAAAATATATAACAGCACAAATAGAATTGAATTTACTAAGGAAGATTGACATTGACAAATCAGTATTAAAAGGAAAATAAATAAAAGCACTGAATGACAAGGGCTAAGATTACAAAACTTAAAATCTTCATGCACATACTGTTGTACCAAACAGTGTTAGTCATCTGAACAGAATATCAATACTCAAACAATTTATGGTAATAATAGCAGTTCATAAAATATTACTCAAATTCTATAAATTGCTCAAATATTTAGGGGGTGAAATTAAACAAAGACACGGAAACTTAAAGGGTAAATTCTGGTAGGTCCCCTCACTAGAAGGTCCCCCCCTATACCCCGTCCGTCCCCGCCCCCAATCATGGGCCTCGCCCGGACCGGTTGGCGTGTAGTTTGACATGGGTACACCAGACGCGGGAACGACACCGGGCGATTGAGATTCTTTCGTAACGTGGGCGACCTCTTGTCGAACCGATTTGCGATCCCCCCCCCCCCCAACACGCCCCCTGTCGTCATTAGGTGGTCACGATGTGACCAAGTTCACATACAAAACCAACCTGACGTCGGCTCGGGTGGGGCGTTACATACACCCAGAAAAATAGTTTCTTGATTCAAGTGCAAGCACAAAGCTCACACAAGATGAAATTCACCATTGAAACAAGGCAATATAGTCTCGGAAATAAGATTTTTCTCTTATTAGTAAGAACATAACAGATTGTTTCAAGAGTAAATTTGATCTTGTGTCAGCGTGCACTTGAAACAAGGAAAAATTTACTTGAAACAAGAAACGATTTTTCTGGGTCTGGGAGTAGAGTTACAACAACTAACGAGAGACACGGTATTTCAGCACATTTTCGGTAAGCAAGACAAGCAGTCGTTATAACCCTTTTTGAAGTTGAAGATGAAGGCGACTAATGAGGACGTGTTCTAGATGAATATGGTTAGTCCCCGGTCATTTACGCCCTTGGTTCTCTCTCCCAGGCCCGTTTATTAAAATAGTGTTTGGTGAATATGACAAAAGCATTTGGAGGTGTGTTTGGAGAAGGAGCTGAGGGGGCGAACACCTCTGCCCGGGGGACGACTGCCAAGCTGTTCGACTCCACGTCGCCGTGCCCATAGTAGTGGCAAGGGGATGGGAACGTCACACTGACGTATCGGACGAGAGGGGAGGGCAGGGGAGGAGGGGGCTATAGACACGTTGTGTGAGGGCATGCGTGCTCGGCTGTGGGATGCGACATCTCAATGGCCACGGTGGCTGCTGTGCGTCGCTCGCTGACATGATACCCCGGGGTGGGGCCGGGGCGGGCGGGCCTGGGCGCGTCCCCCGGGGGGTTGGCCTAGCCTGTCCCGCTGGGACGCGCTCACCTTCCGCCCGCACCTGCCTCGGGGTACCAACCCTACAAATCGCTCCAGATACATCTCTCTCTTAAGTGCCCCCCGAGCCACAAGCTGCACAGCAAAAAGGTGACGGGGGACGCCTCACCACTCGGACTATTAAATCCCCTCGCATGAGAAAGTTACAAATTCAAAACGCGTCCCTGCGCCGCCAAAGATCAAAAGGGGGAAGCGCGGGGCGACACCGGCACCACCGGCACTGGACCAGTCACAATGAGCGGTTGACGGCGGCCTCATTAGAGCGGGCGACCCCCCGTCCAGGACCGCCGTAACTCCCGACCTGCCGCCGGCCAGTTACGCGAGGCGTCGGGGACGGGGGCTCGTCAGCGACCGGCTTATCTGGCGCGGGTTATCGCCTCGATCAGCCAAAGATGATGAGGTGATCAAAGCCGGGCCTACCCAACCCGTAGGAGGGGGG